TTGGCCAATGCATGTTAAATATGCAGATACAGGTAAAATGGAAAGAGTCTAGAAGAGCAAGAAGAATGGTAAAAGATTTAAAAACTACTGTCTCTAAAGAACAGTCTAAGATTTTTAGCCTAAAGAAAAAAAAATAAAGTATATGAATAAGAACAGTCATTCAGTACATGAGTTTATTGCAGCAAAACAGCAACAAGTTGTTTTACAAGACGACAGAAGGAAGTACCATTAATTAGCCTAATATAGACCAGGAACATTTAAGTCAGATACTACCTACCTTTTGAACTAGAAAAACTATTAAAGCAACTGGAATAAACCACCTAAGGATTATTATCCAGTTTCCATTGTTAGATTAAATATGTTCTGCCAAGTCTAGATACGTTCAGTCACTGTTTCACTTCCCAGCGCTCAGCAGCAATTATCTTTTATGCTATTCCGTGTAACATCACATTCCTTCTTCTTTGTGCTCCTTTAACATACCCTCAGTCCAACTTATGGCATGACCCAATGCTTGTGAGTCATGCCACAAATATAATTCAGAAGCTGACCATCTTAAAAAGAACACATCTGTTTTCTTAAGCTGTGGGACTTCTCTGGGTTTTGGTGTGAGGCACAGGCTCATTTTCAACCTTGAGGATTTTTCAGGATTTCAACAACCCTGCAACACTGATCAGCTAGAGCTGATGATGTGCAGCAGGAATAGTCAAAGCCTGTACTACCAAACATGGTACTGTAGAACGTCTACCTTAGTAAATAGCTGGGACAACATTAGGATCTTCTTTTTTGAGGATTTCTTGGGGAAATCAGCTGCTTTTTTGGACCTTGTTTTGACAGCACCTTAAATCAAATGCGCTGTCAACTCTTATGCCCACACCCAATGACACCATACAAATAGAAGCATCTCTGTTGTACTTTTTATGGCAATCTGTGTGAACAGTAAGAGTTACAAAGAAAAAATGCATACGTATTATTGTTCATAATATGCTTATTACTATGCAAACATTGTTCTTGAATAATTTCAGAAAACGAGCAGAAAAAATTATACTTCTTGAAAATGACCCTATTCAGGATTCTGAACTTTGTTTGTTGTATTCTTTAAAGGAAAAAATATGCTAGGACACAGCTATAAAATTGTAAAGATACAATTTTTTATGATTTTCTCTTCTACTATCTGTCATGCACTCATCTTCTTCAAAAGCAAGACAGCAGTAGCAGCAAGTGAAACTACCTGTAATGCTTGCCCCAGGCTGCAGAGAAACATCTACTGCCAACATTGGTGTATGTTCCTACATTTAGTACACTAACCCCAAGTATTGGGTGAAAACAACTGACAGGGCTATCATCCAAGTTAAGAATAACTCAAAAGTCCCCCAAAAACCAGTGTGGGGTGGAAGTGGAGATACAGAATGTTATGCTGTCAGATGTTTTTTCGAGTTCAGTGATCTGCTTTATAAAACAGTCCAGCAAACAGTTGTATAAGCACAATTAAAGGAACAGAGACCTGTAGCAGGGAATCAGAAAGGAACCCAACACCTAACTTGTGTTTATTCAAATCACATTCTACTCAGCCTGTATCAGGCTGACCTTTAAAGCCCATAACAAATCCACAGCCCACCAACAACTGCAGGAATTTCTCCTCCAATGTATTTGTGCTCAGGAGAGGCCCGAGGTGTACAGCTGACTAAAAAGGGGCTGCAGTGCATTCGCATAGCGTGGGAGAGTTACTCACGCATGAGCTTCTTATAGTAACCGACTCTCCCACATTGTGCACTGCCTGTAGTTAATACCTATATGGATATCAAAAAAATTTGATATGGAAGAAAATTGATTTGCCTTCTGAAAACGTTAACTTGGATATTCCCTTCTTAAAATATGAAGAATGAGATATTGCACTAAGTCTGATATTTAGTTTCATTCCTTAAAAAAAAAAGGGAAAAGCAAAGAGTTAAGAATGCGGAAAAATGTGACTTAATATGTAAATACAGCAGAAACACTGGTATGGCATTATGCAAAGTTAGTGCCACCAGAGATGAATTATAAAATAACTTGTTCTAAATGAAGGACAAACACTAAAAGAATGTACACATTCATATACCAGCTGTCTTATTGTTGCAGGCTGGGGGGAACCTATTGAACCAAGAACTCATGTTCTTTTGTATTTAACAATATAAAAGAACAAATGTTCTTTTGTATTTAACTAATGTAGCGATAACATCCAGTGATGAGGGCCTCCCGTGTTGATAGTTAATGGGCTAAATGAATGTGGTTTTCTCTTCAATCACAGACTTACACCTAATTTTTCTACTTCCACACCTGCCCAAAAACATACGTAAGTTAGAACAGGACACCGGGGAGAAAAAAAATGGACAGCCCTCACCGACAATGTGCAAAGGCACAGTCAGGAAGCACTCTCCTGTCCAAATCTAGATCAAGTAAGATTCTAAGGAAAGAAGCTCAGAGTTAACCTGCCCCTTGAGAAAGACCAATGAGCTGGGATATGATTATGTATTCCTTTATAATTAGTTTTCATAAATATACAATGCAGCTATTTTAATACCAAGAACTACTTAGCAATTCTACATTACTTAAACATGAAGCTTGCACACCCTCTTCAAACATTGTATCACGTATTAGAAATTAATTCAATACGTATTCTTACTATGTATAACTTGAAGAGATGGAATGATACACTTGAAATACCACCAAGGGTATCAGAATAAGAATCATAAGCACCTAACTAGAAGATGACGCTCCAGTTCAACACATTAATCCAAACATAAAATGGAATCTTAGGTTTTCATGCTTCTGTATTCCTACAAGATAAATTCCTAACTACCAAAATTTCACAATATCTTCTAGGTCATATAGACAAGAAATTGAGAGCTAGAATTAATCTCAATAGCATGCAACACACTTATGGAGAGAACACTTTTTTAACTAAGGCCTGACAATCTGCACTAGGTTTCTAGGTTTCCAGAAAGTCACAGTAACAATTTTCCCATCTTGGCTTTCAAGCATAAGGAAAAGAATTTACATCAGCATATTTATTTTTATCCACAGTGTTTATTTCTGCTGTAATGCAAATAAACTCTACATATCTAGTAATAATAATGCAAAAAGGATGAAAGTGACAAAGTAAGAGTAAGTTTATGTTCAATACAGTCATATTACAAGTATATTTACCATCAACATTAAAGTGCAACTAATACTGGAAAAAAAATCAAAACCCAACTTAGAAGCCTAACTTTCTTCTCAGTACTCAAGTAACCACAAACTTGTGATATCACTCACCAAGCCATATTGTTTATGCTAACACACCCAGCATCATCAGATATCTATCTATCTTTAGACAGATAACCTGTAGCCATCAAAATTAAAGCCCTATCAGACTCAGGAGCATTAAACCCGTGGATTTCTGGCCTTCAAAGACTCCTGTATGAGAAAGAAATGTAATGCTTTTCCTCCCTACTAACATAGAAGAGTCAGCATTGCCAAGGATAGGTGATAATGCCTCCTCCCAGGCAGCACCTACAGTCAAAATACAGAAGCACTGCCTGTTAAGTCCACTCCAATGTTATGCATCAAATGTACAAGATTAGGGCCATCAAGTTCTGTCAGCAAGACAGAATATTCTGCTTTAAGGATGAAAAGCCAGAATGATCAAGCAGGAAGAGGTGTGTTAGGGAATGTCTGACAGCCCTGGATTTGCTCAAGGTCTTCCACAGCGACACAGAGATTTGGGCAACCACCACATTGGTGAAATACAACTGAATTTCAGTCTTTTTTTTTTCACTATGCACATTCATCATCAGACCAGAACAATTTCTTAAAAAGGAAGAGTCTTAAGAAACAAGTCATTAAGAAAGACAAGAAATAGTCTTGCAGAATTAAATGACTTATGATACGACCTAAGATATGGAGGTCTTAGTAGCAGGATATTTTGTTGGCAGCATTTCTCATTTCAGGAAGTATTCAGTCAAGCATGGCTAAAACAAGCAGTGTCCCCATTGGATTCAGCAGCCAATAAAATGCTATTAATTTCAGCCTAATGTCCAGTAAAAGCAATTAATTTCAGAATACATAATTGCAACAGAAGTTTTCAATGACAAATACAGCAACACGGTTTTGCACCCTGCTAAAGCAGCAAAATAACTGCTAATAACCAGTTATTTGGCATTGGGCAAGAATAGAAAGCAGAGCATAGCAGTACAAGGAAAACATGAGAATTAAATCTACCACCCCTTATGCAAGTAGTTTTAAATTTATCAAACCTCTAGAAAAAAAATCTCAAAAGATATTGGAAGGAAAATCTACTCTGTCCATCTTAAGTCCACTTCCATTTAGAAAATATTAAATGCAGGAGGCTATGTTTTCCAAGCTAGTATTTGTTTTATTCTAATTGAAGCTTCATCTTAAGGTACAGCCAATAGGAAAAACTTATTAGCTCTACATGGGATGGACAAAACCTTCATAATAGATATCAGTTGATTTAATTTAAAAAAAAATGGCAGCTAAACATTTCTGTACAGCTGGTCACTGGCAAGTTACAGAGATTGAGCAGGAAGAAGTACTTTATTGTGCAGGCTAACAGGGAAAAAGATAAACAGGACGGTTTAACTGGACAACATGGTTTCACATTAAGGAATAAATCTACTTTGCTTATGTAAATTTCACTTAAATATTAGAGAAGAGTTGGTACAGAGGTGGCTGACAGCATTAACTTTAGGCAAAGTAGACCATCTATTTTATTGCCTTACATAAGGTTTGGTTGCAAAGACCACTAAAGTCAACTAACTCTTCATTTACTTGAATTGTCTTTGAATTTGACCCAGAATTTAAACAGCATTACTACTTGCTATGTAAGCACAAGGTCTGAAAAAATTCCAGTTTACAGATAAGATTTCCCAAGTTGAAGTTGAACCAAATAGTTCAATAGTTGACAAAATAAATTACTCTGCACATTGTATCTCATTTGTTGGAGAAAATATTCTCACTCTTACCTGCACATTTTCTTCTGTAACTTGAATTTCAGCAGTGTAAATATAATCAATGAGCATCCTTAGAGTCCAGCCATCAACTTCCTTTATTCGAACTTTTTTTGCTCGGCTTTCACTCATCTCACCTACAAACACAGTTTATTAGTCAAGTAAATAAGACAGAAATACAGCCCAAATACAGAAGTTTAACAGCAGCAGAAATTTTGTGTATGAGCAGTTGTGATAGTAGAATAACTTCAACACCAATAATTTAATTTTTCTTTCCTTCCTTCCTCCAGTGAGGAAGGAAGATTTTGTTGTCATCATGCAAATGCTACCTGGGTTAATACTTTTAGTGCAGGTGACCTATTTTTTCCAGTGTACAATATCAGGAAAATATTGTTTTCAGACCTAAATATGACACTTCAAATGCATACAGAAACAGTTTGCTGGGAAAGCAAGATATTAAAATACTCTAGCTTTATTAACTTCTTAATTGAAGGAGCATATCAAACACAATCTGGAGTAAATTTATTTAAATAAGAAGTTATATCCCCACAGAAGAATTAACATACATATTTCTTTGCTTGCCTACTTATTATTCCCTTAGCGATTTCACCTCTTTTGCAGCTCCAATTTAACAGCTCAAGCTAAGATAAAATGGTAAGCAAGGGAAAACTTGTTGGATCTCATTTTGTGGAGGCTGACATGTTGGCCATATGCCACAACTGATCTTCAAAGAAAGGCCTGCAAAATATCTTCCACCTTCCAAAATATGATGTTTCTCAAAGTGCAATATTTTCTTTATGGCTGAAATAATTATCCAAGTACATATTTTGAAGTAATGACTATAGCCTTCTTAATGACTTCCAGATCAGGTCATCTCAGACCTTTAAACCCTCTTGCACTGACTTCCACTGAGAAACAAAACACGAACTACAAAAGTGATGTTGGAAGATATATAAAATTTCACTTTGGAAGAGTATATCCCAATCTCTGAATACATTAGTTTCTTATTCTTCTATGTTGGATATAATTTCTTTCCCTTAAGCATATACATCTAGAGATAAGGGCATTGGTGATATAATAAATTTAATGTATACAACAAGAAAAGCCAACAGGATGGAGAAGTGAACAAGAACATGCTAACCATTGCTGATATTTTCTTATGAATTCATACACATTTTCATTGTTTGTTACTTCATTGTTCTTGTCTCTAGGGTTAGGGTCAAACAATGCATTTAACCCAGTGGTTTCAATAAAGGGATCATCACTGACGAATCTGTTACCGCTGTTCATGGTACCATACCTTTTTTTGAGCTGAAGGGTAAAGAATGGCATCGCAAATCAACCCTTTAAGTGGCAGGAAGTTCAAAAGACATAAAAACCAGCAAAATCCAGCTCCCACAGAACTTTCTCCTTTCACCTGCACTTCTGAAACATTCCCCTACACCTTTGAAGGATGACTGCAGAACGTTCCCTGCAGGGCCCTGTATTCCAAGTTTCTACTTCTAGTTTGACACAGATTAAACCTATTGATCTTCAGAGCATGTAAACTGCAACTTATTTATTATGCAAGCTGCTGTGGAGGTGGTCCTCTGGGAAAATTGTGTGTGTAGGAGAGCAGATTTTGATATTCTGCAAGCATATTAGATTTGTTTTCAGATTTTGTGTCAAGGCTTTTAGAGTCATGGATAGGCACCTTCTCTGTTTAAAAACCAAGCCCAGAATACAAAAATAAAAAACCCTGAACAAGAAAATAAAAACCAAAAAAACACCCAACACCCAAACAACAACAACAAAACACCCAACCAAAATAACCCCAAAAAATACTTGCTTCCAACTTTCATGTGAACCAGACATGCAATCTTACTACAGTTCTAGATCAACCCATATCTGTTTGATAGATCATATAGAGCAAATCAGATGCACTCAGCAGGCAGTCTCAGTCTAGAATTCAACCTGCTGAAGAACTCAGTTTATGACTGGGAAGCAGCACCACCATGTCTCCACAGAGTTCATAGTGACAGGAAAGCATATCATGAACAGAAAGCACTGAGCTGATCCAACCTCTCAAGCAGCAGCAGCAAAGCACCAGCTGAGTTGAAGATACTAAGGGGCTACAAAGATACAAAGGGGCTACCTAACAAGCTTACATGGCTCCTCACAAAGTAATGCAAAGAAGGCCTTTTTTTTTTCCCCCCCAAGAATTTTACAAATGGAGAATGGAAGTGAAGAGAGCAGGTAAATCCCTAAGGATTACTGCCATCGTAGAAAAGAAAATTAAAGCCACCCTTATCTGAAGTCAGGCCCTAGAACCACTGAAGAGTCCCTTCTCTGATGCTTTATAATCAATTCCTCTAAACATTTAAGTAGATTTAAATAATATTTCTAAATAATTCCACTGTGTAAGACAAAAGAAATATTCCTATTAACATAGATTAAATAGCAGGGACTTTCTTCCCGCCCATCTCCTCATTGGATAATTATTACTAACTTACTATATTCTGTAACTTTAAAAGACAGTAACTTTTTCTTTCCTGATAATTATTAGGGCCACCATTACAAGTACAAATGAAGGAAAAAAAAAAAATAGGCCTCTGTTTGAACCTAGTTAATGCCATATCCCAGCCTGCACTGCAGTAATATTTAATGACTCAGAGAATGATGGAATCAACCTGCAAACACATGTCTAAACAGAAGCTTCTAATTTCTAATCAAAAAGTAACCGTAAAGCATAAGAGTGCAAGTTTTTCACTGTCTTTCCAGTCCCTGTTTTATTCTGGATGGAAGAAGATACTTCTCCCTTTGGTTGTGGCTGATTAAGGAATGCAATTTGCTTATTTGAACTTGCAGATTACTGGATGAGAATAAAAATCCACCTAAGAAGCGTGGATTTCAGGCTTCATGGAGAGAACAATCACAATGACATTGGGGAATTTTTGTGTGGGGAATGGCTGAAATGCACCAATACCACAGCTGGGCCGTGCTGTAAGCAACCTATAAGCCTAGTATAAAACCTGCTGCTAACTCTTAAAGCCACAGCTGAATTCTATTTAAGCTCCCACCTATTTGGCTCACCAACTACACAAACCTCACTACAGATATATTAGTTGAACACTTCACACCCATTACTCAAGTGAGTGTTCCCACCTCCTGCAGCACTGGGGCTAAAGAACGCCTACATTTAAAAACATAAAACAAGTAAAAAATTTTAAAAGGGAAGAGAAGATTTCAGTCATTCCATCTGGAGAGCAGCTACAGACACTGCTGCACTGGCACTCTGAATGGGTAATAAACTTCTTCACAGAGAGGGCAGTCAGGGCAAGCAGAAATGTCTTAATCACAGAAGACATAATAAAAAGCTACACACTGAGCAAAGAGTATTTGCAATGTGATAGTCAACAACAGTTAGCCTTTAATACAGAACTAACACAAGAGGCTTGCATTTCTCTGCTACTAAGGTGATAAAAAGGAACTGTAGAAGCAGCTTTTTTTATTCTCATTTTATAGGCAGGAGTAAAAATGAAGAAAGAACTTATCAGTCACCCATAATATTTGCCTCAACCACAAATGCAAACTTAAAGAACTGATTGAGGAAGAGATATTTAATTTTATAAGCAACTTTAAAGCATTCTTGTAGAAGTTACTCCACTTCTGGCCTTGAATATGTCAAAATACTTGCCTATAAAATCCAGAATGATCGGCTGCTTCCCTGGAACACAACAGTATTTGAAATTTCATCCATCTTGTTGCATACAATTAAAATTATTAAAACACCAATCTGTTTGCATATGGGCAGGCCAAGAGTCACATTTCTACTTCCATCTGAGCTGGTGGTCAGAAGCAATGGATTACAGAGAAGTCTTAATTTCAGGCAGTTGACATTAACTACAAAGCTGGCACAAGATTTGAGGATGAACAGACAAAACCTCAGAAGTTAATTTTAACATGCATTTCGTAGCATTCTTACTTTGGCACTGAATTTTACATTATTTCAATGTGATTTATAACTATGATGGAATTAAACCCACAGCACAGGAATTTCAGCTGGAGGCTCCTATCCTAGACCTGAGCCTATCTTAGCCTTGCAAGCCCTCAGCATTCCTGCTCCAGCAGTAAAGCAGGAACTTGGCCAGCATGGAGCAAGCAGAAGTCAAATCAAGCCTGTACAGAAAAGTAGTGGCAATGATGCAGAGTACATATGTCATGGAGAATTACCCTAAAAATATTGAAACATGCACTCCAGCTACAGGCTGCCAAAGCCACAGAAAGCTTTCATATCTACTAACAGCCTAGAGCGCTCATGGGCTGAAGAATGTAGGAGCAGTAGTTGTTAAAGGACATAATTTACTCAAAAATTCACATAGTTATTTTCACCTTCCTTTGGACAAGTGAGATTACTAGAGGCTTAAAGTGTATAACAACTTAAGTATCGCTGGCTTACTTAACATCTAATTTGTTTTTTAATTAAGGAGACTTTTTAAAGCATTCATCATACTAACAAAGGCTACATTGACAGTATGTCCTTAGACTGCAAAAAAAAAAATCATTAAGAATCCCAAATGTTCCTATTGTATTATCTAAAAATCAAATCAGATCCTAAAAAGCAAAAGTCATGAAATTTTATTCTTTATACAGTTAGACTGGATTATAACATAGTAAGTATTGAAACATTTGGTACCTGTAAACATGGCATGGAAGTAGGGGCTGCAGGCGGCTAACACAACTCTATGCGCTGCAATTTCCATGTCTTCAGCTACTATCGTCACATCACACAGCAAGTTTTGACTATTTAGAAATATCAGAGAAGGCAATTTCACATAAGTGGACTACAACAGAAAAGTATATATGATATCACACACAATTTCTTTTCCCATGCCATCAGAAGAGGCAGGCAGACAATGTTGATGAAGCATTGTTTTTAATGTGTTACACAACCACATGGCTGTTACTCAATCAGATTACGGATGGAGCTTGGGTACACAAAACTATTTAAAAATCAAACAACTGAATTGTGATTCATTGCACAGAAGTTTTCTTCACTGAATAACCATAATTTGTATCAGCCCAATTTATAAACATTCTCTCTGGAAGTCTGGGCCCCTTTGAACAACTATGATAGAAAAAACAGAATTTAATATATACAAGCACTAAAAAAAAAAATACATAAGAAACAAGGCTTTACAGACAACAAAGAATCCAAACTTCAACTGAGATGCATGTGTCACATTACACTGGAAACTTATGCCTACTTAATTGTACAAATCTACTACTCAGTCTTCTCTATATTCACTGTTTTCCAAGCATTTTTCATATTCATCCCATGCACACAATAGCAATTCTTTTGTCCAGTCTGAACAGTTTAGAATTTATTATGGTTTACTTCATATCTTGACTGACTTTGTACCTTCATTACATGCATTTGCATTCTTGTCCTTAGTGACTGTAACATATTTCTTTCCTGCCCAGTTGCAATAAAGTAACATCTCATTTATAACCATCCTAACACAGGTATTTCTAACACAGTTTACATCTATTGGCTGTACCTCTTCCACTTAAACTCCTAACACATATACTCCTTAGAATCCAATTTTCTAGACTGGATAAGGAGAGGGGGAAAAAAAGAAGAAAACACACCACAACACGAAAAGGCTGCAACTTCACAGCATCTAACTAAGGGTTACAGTCACCTCTTATTCAGGCTAGCACTGTCCCTGTGGAGGTAGTATGGAATCCACAAAACTCAGACCCACAGCAACAGAGGGAAGAGGGAAAAGTATGACTTAACAGAACATATTCCTTAGGGATGGAGCTAGAGCTGCACACCAATCTAGTGATTTCTATTCTCAGTACCTTCAAAAAGATACATTTTTACCATTCCTGAATACTAATAAAGATTTTTAGATAGTTTGCAACTACCACACTAAGTTGTAGCAAAGCCAGGTGAGCAGTTGCATTTTGCCTGGACAGAACTAGAGCTCTCAGCCAAACAGCTCAGATATCCACCTCAGTCCAAAAGAAAACTCTGTGATCTCTCAGTTCTGCAATTATCCAACTTTGATGAGCCCAGACTCAAGTAAGGTGGCTTTGTGGAGGTCACACATCAAAAATTTTGGTGGTCACAACTAACCTTTGGGGCCATATTGCAATCCTGGCAATTATCTTTCTGACTTCACATTACCTTTCTGCTTTCAACTCTTATAGCAACTATGTAAATCTCATAAATTTACCTTGCAATATAGTTCTTATCAAATTGTACATAATATGTACGATGTAATGACTGTAACAGACGAAACACACAATTCAGAGGATCTTGAAACAATATTAAATTTATTATTTAAAAAAATGGAAACAGAAAGCTACACAAAAAAGGGTATTAGATGGGTATCTGATGGATAGCTTTATTGGACACCTGCACTTACCCTGACAACAGGAACAAGACGTTTTATACTTAATTGCACAGAAAGATAAAAACTAAGATAATACTAAAGATAACAATGAAGCCAGAAACAACAGAATTACATCAATGCACAACTAGGGTTACTAATTACATTGCACATACATAGACATAGTAACACCTCTAGTCTGGAACTGCATCAGGTGAATGAGTATGTCTGCATTACTACAGAGCTGACAAGCTAAAGAAACTACTGAAGAAACGACCTTAAAAACTTCATCTTGTACGCTGCTGCAAGCATCTTGTGCTTCCTCAGCACCTTCATTTCATGAGAGCACATCAATTTATTTTAGAAAAGGTTGTGTTCTGAAGTGTTAATGAACCAATTTGCTTATATAGAGTGACTGAATGAACAGAATTGTGGGGGATACACCATCATGGTACAGACAATGAGAAAAAGGGGGTTAAGCAAGTATGCATTTAAGAATAATTGAGCAACTGTTTATCAGCTTGCAGATTATTCTTCATTGGCTCATACAGAGAAAGTTTTCATTACCCCCATCTTCAAAAGGTTTTGGTAAAGTCTTGTTTGTAAGAATGAGAATTTTGATAAATATAGGTAACATCAAATTCCTTTTTGATAAAAGCAAATGATAGTAAAGTGAAAAGATAGGCATCAGAGTGTAATTTTGTCACATGTCAAGAACTAATTAGTTTTCCTAATGAGCTTTCTACTCAGTGTTGAGGTGATGCTGAGCAATGAAATGACAAAAAATACAAAGGACAAAATTGCTAAAATTTGTCAAAATTTGAAGGTACATAAAAACTCATTAACAACCTACTAGAGCCAGACAACCTGACAGCAGGCAAAAATTTAACATGCAACACAGACTCAAGCATTCAAAGCCAAATGTATTTAGTTGCTTAAGCAAATTATTTTTTCCCTAGCTATTCACTTCCTGGAGAGTATACCTCTGGCAAATACCTGTTTGTGCTACATTAATGAAAAGCACTGAGATTCATTACATTTTTAAAGTTGTTTCTAAATCAAAAAAATAATTCACTGGATTAATATTAGATCTTTGTTTAGAGCAATAAAGTCTGAAACATTTTTAAGATTTTCTGTTTATTACTTCAAACAAATGAATGCAACTAGAAACGTTTATAATTTTGTTTAATTACCACTTACCATCTTAAAAGCTGTACTCAGCTTTAATTGTAAATATTGTTGCTTTACCTTATTAAATGGCAACTAGTTAAGGTTATATGGCACAGCTCCTGTTCAAACTTTAAGTATTTATACATGCAAGGCAAAATTGCTCAAATTGCTTCTACAGCAATTTGAATTTAGGTAACCATGGAAACTGAAGTATATTCTGAAAATAATCCATGGGCTTTAAAAATGCACTCTGCTGGAAGACTGTGAATCTTTTACTTGAAACACAGCAAAACGCAGGTAAGGTTTCTAACTTCCAAAATTATTGTTAAGATTAATTCTGGGAAACTTTCTCCATGTAAAATCTTGCTCATCCTTAGGAAGTCATTGCTACTGGCTCTAGCCAGGCTCTGTTATGCTCCTTGAGACACTGCATCTGGTTACTGGGACACTTGAGAAAGCCAAGGGCATAAATTAGGTGAAGCAACAAGTGTCAGCCTATCCAGCACACAGTTTTAAAGATTTACCTATATGGAACAGCAAAGGCCAAAGGCAGAGGCTTACTTTAAAAGGGTATCAGTTGCTGTGTTTCATTCCCGTGAAGCCTCTCCAATTTTTAATTTTATATGGGAAATAACAAAGAACTACAGGATTTTCACAGCCTCCAGTACTGTCTCTGCTGAAGAAGTATTTTTATTTATTTAATTTCTCCATTGTTGCTGTAAGTTATAGCGCTAAATTACTATCAGTGATAGCTGTGAGTCCTGATTTCCAGAGCTCAGTTGTGATCTCTAATTACCAGCTGTCACAGTTTTCAACATCACTTCACCTACTCATATGTAAAATATAAATCAATATAGATGTTAAGAACATCACCAGCATCAGCCTCCCAGTTTCACTGAAACTGATGGTATTATCCCTCAAAGTCTTACAAAACTCTATTGAGAAAAGTTACTTTCAACATTTGATCGATTTCTCCCAGAGGGCAAGCGAATAACAACAAAGAAAATGTGCAGTCAATTGGTTTATACTGTGACCTATGTCTCTAGAATAGAAAATTTTAACATTTTTCTGGTTCACAGCATAACACGAAAATCAACAACAGGCACACAAAGAGCCTAAGACTCAACCAGAGTCACTTTTTGTCTATCCAGCATCAACTACATACAAGAGAGGATTAGTAGCTGTAACTCCTTAAGTACAATCTGTAAGTATTTTTCAAGTCTCATAAAACTAGTTCCAAGTTATGAGGTGCAAAAACATACTGCATACATTACAGCTATCATCACATGGCTATCATTCAGTTATCACTTCATTGTATATTTAATCCTTCTCCTCAGCTATACTTCTGACATTGCATGTTCTTAATAAACAAGCTATTATTATTAACTTAAGAAATGCAAATGAAAGCAGAAATTAACTTTGGACTCCAGGCAGGTGTATACAGTGAGGTCATACCTTCTTAATTCATTCATAACTTTAAAAGCTTTCTTCATGTGCCATGGATTTACTGTAATAGGACAGTGAATTTCGGTGTTATCATCTTTCAGATCCAACGGCTTCTGATGACAAAGTTTGGTACATCTGGAAAGAAAGAGGCAAAAAATAAAGTTAATACTTCTGTCGAATCTCCAGTGCTGTCACTTCTTTCTTTGTCCACCTTCATCTCGGGGAGAAGAAGATTTGCACTTCAAACTTCTTCTTTACTCCAAGCAATTTTAGTTTCCCTATTACCAAAGGTGCAGAGGAATAGGTACAATTCCTGTGGAAGTAGTAAGTTGGTGAGTAATACTAGTGACATTGTCAGAGGCTAACAATAATCTGCACTAAAAAAACACGATGATGTTTTCTGCTTTTGTGAATATTATTTTATTTAGTGGAGAAATAGTCTAGAATATTTCCAATAGGCTCTGAAGTGAGGGCAGAATTAGAGTTTTGGGAACTTTTCACCTAGTGCCCATACAGATCAGTGGCAGAATGCAGCAACCATCACCCCAGTCTCTTAATGCCTTCACTGCCTGTCAGGTAAAAGCTCCTCTCTGCCCTTCTACGAGGACCTCAGTTACTGTTTCACACAGCTCCTAGCTCTCCTCTGACAGGAAGACCACACAATGAGTACTGCAATTATCCAGGCTTTCCCTAGCCACAGCACAAGAAGTGGGTGACAGAAAAATTGTGTACTTTTGTAGATTCATTCAATGTTTTGAAAACCATAATGTACATAAGTGACCAGCCTTTTAATTTTTGTTACTCTCACAACCCCATTCCAAAAAGCAAGAGAAGAACTAGGCAGCGTGAAAAATCATTACCTCTAGCTACAATTAGTTCTTTCTGTAAGACATACCCAAGTAATACAGACACTAAATTCTGTAGAAGAATTATTATATACACTCCTCAGTCACTTGGACTGTCCAAACAGCAAGCGGACTTTTCATGCCAAACCAAATCAATGAGTTTCCTGTTTACAGTCACAACGTTGTTCTTACAAAGCAAACTGTGTTGCTGTAGCACTTAGAAAATGCTTAGCATCAGTGATGCTTTATTCTACAGCATTGTAACTGTATTCCTGAACCTCTAAGCTGGAAATAAGCAAAGGCACTGAGAAGTCATTTGGTGGGGCCACAAACCCTGGTACATCAACCATCTGGTTGCAAATGAAAATTCAACCTTACCAGCATTAGGTAAGCACAGTCAAACTGAACATATTCAGTGACTCACGTAATTGCAACCTCTCTTCCACTATACCAGAAAATTTTTAATTGGCCATGTCTGAACTTAAAAGAAAAAGCCAACAATAATTTAAGATTTTAACCTAGAACTCTAAGTTCTGTGCACTACAATAGTGCAAAGCCAAGCAATCAGCTCTATTTTTCGTTATCCCTACACTAGCTAGAAAATTTTGGAGCAAAGCAATACAAAAGTGAATCAAGCAACAAAGGAATGTAAAAAGATTCCATAAAACTAACCAAGTAACATCCATCCACAGAACTCTAACTGCAACCAACTTACTAGAGCGTACCATGAAACTGACATGAATTTAAAGTTTCATGTTCAATTTTGAAAATTCTACAATTAATTAATGAAAAAGGACAAATAACAGACAGGAATTCTGCATCAATAAAAAAACCCAAAACAAGTTACATGCTATTCAGCACATAAATATGCTACTTCATAGAGGAAAAAAAAAAAAAAAGACATTCTATCTAGCAAACTCCTTTAGACTGAAGGTTACTTTTCTATATTACGTGACATACGTTGTGATTAGAATTCCAAAAAATTATAGACAGAAATCAATGACTGCAGAAAACATTCAAAACACCAAAGACCTATAACCAAGAGACCCAGCTTTTAATTATACCACTGACCTATCAAATCCAAGATAGAACACTTTCACTGCAACTTTCTACATCCCAAAGCTATCTACATCAGACACTGATGTCTATCTATCTGCATCCATATACAGGCTGTGTATGCATCAAATGCAGCTATGCAAGGAAAAAAAAAAGTGATCCAGGAAAACAAAGTCATCCAGTGATCCAAGGAAAAAACAAAGTTGTCTGTAAAGAGCTGCCAAGCAACCTGGATTAGATGGATGAGCTCACATGAAGCGTAAATTAATTTGCTGAAGTTTCATTTGTTTGTCACAAAGGGTGACTTTGTTTTAAGGTAATGAACCCTACAAAACCATCAGTCATATGCCTTCGGTTTTGGGAATTGCCAGTCTGCCTGAAGTACTGGGGTCTCTCTTACCATTTCACCAGCTGGGCCACAGCTGTCTGCAACTGGTTTCCTTCAGCTTCTACTCAAGAACCTCATGCAGTGCAGAGCACACCTGAAATCTACCTACCGAAGGCACAGGATGAAGTAGCACTGAAGCGGAGCCTGTGAAAGGACTGAGGAGGCCAGCTGAGGTGCAGCTGGAGATGGTTGCCTGGAGTGCATCGCCTGGGCACTGCCACTAAAAAAGATGCTTAACTAAATAACCAGAAAACCGGGAGTGATATAAGCACGACTGCTGAGTCAAACAAGGAGTAATTTGGGACCACATATGGAGGAAGCAGAAGGAGTGAGGGGGAGGAGGGAGAAAAAGCCCGCCTGTCCCCACAAGCTGGAAGGCACACGGGAAGGCGGCGGGCGGGGGTGCCGGCAGCGCTGCCCGCCCGCGGGAGCCCCGCGCCCGCTCCCCCCGCCGCACGGTGTCCGCGGCCGGCACCCGCAGCGGCACCACCGGGCATCTCCGAGCGCCAGCCGGCCGCGCTGTCCAGGGGAGAGCCGGCCAGCCGGGCAGCCGTTCCGCCACCAGGTCGCCGGCACGACCCTCCCGCCGGCGCTGCCCCGCGGCCGGTTCCTTGCGTCCCCCGTCCTCAGGCACCGCTCCTCCCGGTGTCGAGGGGCCCGGCGGGGCCGGCCGGGCTGCGGAGCGCCGCGGCACCTCCGCTCGCTGCTGCGCGGCCGGGCCCGCCCCGCCGCCCCAGCCCACGGACCGCACAGCGCTCCGCTCCGCACCGCCGTCCCGGCGGGCTCCGGGCGCCCGGCTGCCACCCCGCCCGCCTCGCCGCCGCCGCCGCCACACTCACACGGGCGGCAGCAGCATCTCCATCGCGGCTCCGCTCGGGCTTCCTCCGTGCAACGCGGGCTCGGCGAGCTGCCGCCAGCACCATGCCAGCTGCGCTGCCCCGCCGCTGGTGCGGGGTGCGGGGAGCGGCTGCGCCCGCCCGGCCGAGCCCCGCCGCCGCCGGGAGCCGCCGGCGCTGCGGCTTCTGGGTGCCCGCCCGCGGGAGGGCGCGGCGGGGACGGGCCGCTCTGCGCAGGCGCGGCGGCGGGACCCGGCCCGGCCCGGCCTGTGCGGTCCGTGCAGCGGTGGTGGCCGGAGCTCTGGTATCCGCCGGGAAAGGGGCTCCTCGCCGGAGTCTTCCGCCCTCGAGGTGGGACAGCTTCAGCCCAGGGGCTTTAGGAAGAGGAGGCTGAGACACCGCTGCCCTTGCGGAAGGAAGCGTGGCCTCCGAGTGGGATGAGCCAGGGTCTAGCGCCCAAGTGCGCGTCTCCCGCTTCCCAGGAAAGCGGTGGCTCAGGGCGGGCCGGAGAGCGACACCAGGGGCTGCCCTGCGCAGCGACACGTCCCGCGGAGCGCCCGGGTCAGCGTGCCCTCAGCGACAGCGAGCGCCCCACATGGCTTGGGGCGCTCGCGTGGGGACACACAGATGCTGTGTCCCACGGGGGGAGGGGGTGGGGGGAATTAATTAAAAAAATGAAATCAGTCCCCGTTCTCCTCAATGAGAAAATCCACCAGCAGGTGCACACCATGAGGGACATGGGCAACTTCTTGGCAGGCCAGCCAAGGAGCTGGCCCGACACCAGCTCCTGCAGGTGCCTTCTGCTCGAGCAGGGCCCGAAGGGAAGAGCAGAAGTGCGTCGGGACGGAGGAGTTGAAGAGGGTCTAGTTCTTTGTGACCTGCTGGATGTTGTCTTTTATTTGATCAACTCCAGCAGGGACACTGCTGCTCAAAACAGCTGGCCTCCTGTGTTTTGCAAACATTGCTGACGTTGATCATTAAGTACTTGAGTTTTGTTTCAGGGTTTGCTGAAGTAGCCTCTGTGATGCAAAATGGCAAAAAGAAAAACGAACAGACATCTATTTCCAATGTGTCTTTGTAAACAACACTAATTCAAGCAGTGATCAAGAATACTACATTTAGCAACTTCTGACTTGGGGCACTAGAGAAGAATTTACTGTATTTAAACCTCTGGAAATTACTTTGAAATCTTTGAAGATTGTGTAGTGGAAAATGGATTTAGCAGGCTGAACACAATTCAGGTATTTAAATCTGATTGTGTCTGTAAAATTAAAATGCTTCTTCACTGGACTAAAAGATTTTAAATTGGAATAGTATCTCCAAACGAATAAATCTACTAATAACTGATGAACATTATTTTTCTAAGAGTGAGAAGAGTTTGAAGCAGCATATTTCAAATAAGACACAAAACAAACTGGCAGGAGTGTTTTGGGTGAAGACTTACTGTAGATGGATACTGAAAGCCTTCACCAGTGTTTCTAATAAAATCACTAGCTATTAAAACGAAATGTATTTTAATCTGTTATTTTCATTTTTGCTCATCTCCAATAACACTCCTCACTAGGAAAATGCCATTTTCTTTTAGTTTTCTCAGTTTACCAATCCTCTTTCACTACAGTGATGATTTGGGAACACTTCAAAATTTTTTCAATGGGTTACCACTGGAGGTTTTTCTAAATTAAATAATCACAGTTGGCAGTGTCTGTTTTTATGAAGTCTGTGCTTTGTAACTACTGAATTTTTCTCTTCTCAAGAGACAACTAGATTTGCCTCTGGGTTGTGTTGGAAAAGACAAGGTACTTGCTAAAGATTTAAATGCACAACAAAACCTGCTTGCAGGGAAGTCTGCTCCAAAGGAGCCAGCCAGAAATAATGCTCTCTGAAATGGAGGTTTAAAATTCAGCTGGCTCTACCTAGCATAGCATGTCCAAGGTCTGAGTTCATAAGCAGGTGAGGCCTGGGTAGATCCGAGAGTGGATGATGACTGTCACATCACACTTCCAGTTTTCTGTAATTCAGAGTAAACTCCTGGACACATCACTTTGTAAGACAAGGATCCCAACTTCTACTGATCCGTAAGACCTAAGTGAATTCTACTGTGTTGTGTTTAAGGGTCCCCTCGAGACCACTGTAAACTTGTGAGCTGGTCTGGAAGCTGAGGGGCTTTGTACACTCTTCACGTATAGATCCTGCAAGTAGGTAGGCAGCTGCAGATTCTGCAGATTCTGCTCCATGCTAACACGGCAGAACTGTTTAGCAGTGTTGCTGCTGTGGTTTAACCCCAGCCAGCAGCCACGTCCCGGGCAGCCACTCACTCACTCCCCCAACAGTAGGATCAGGGACAAAATCAGAAGGATAAAAGGTAGAGAATTTTGGTTGAGATTAAGTTTAACAGGGAAAGCAGAAGCTGCACATGCAAGCAAAGCAAATCAAGGAATTAATTCACTGCTTCCCAGGGCAGGCAGGTGTTCCATCATCCAGGAGAGCAGGGCTTGGCTCATCCTCCAGGAAAGCAGGCCCCCATCACATGTAAGGGTTACTTGGGAAAACAAACACCATCACTCCAAATATCCTCCCCTTCCTCCTTCTTCTCCCCACTTTATACACTAAGCATGATGTCACATGGTGTGGGAATGTCCCTTTGGTCAGCTGGGGTCACCTGTCCTGGCTGTGTCTCCTCCCAGCCTCCCATGCACACCCAGTCTCCTCCCCAGTGTGGCAGTACAAAAAGCAGAAACAGCCTTGGCTCTGTGTAAGCCCTGCTCAGCAATAACAAGAACATCTCTGTGTTATCAACTCTGTTCAGCACAAATCCAAAACACAGCCCCATGCCAGTCACTGTGAAGAAACTTAACTCTACCCCAGCCAAAACCAGTACAAACATTTATTAACATTAAACATTTCCAACCTGTGACTTCTCTCATTTTCTTGCAGTGTTCTTTTGGCTTCAGAGCCCAATGTTCAACATCAGTTCAGTTAATTTCTGTGATGCAGAGCATCAGAAAGAAACAAATAGGGCAAGGTTCATTTTTTTTTTTTTCCCCTGAAAATTATATCTTTGTAGTTCAGTAATTTCAAGAGGAATCAAAGCAAAAACTACTTAGTCCAAAATACATTATGTGGTTATGACAAAACAACTTGTATCTCTCACCATGAGAAAACACGTCCTTTAAAAACAATGCCTAGATTTTTATGGGATTCTGCTTGATCCAATACCTCTTAGAAAAGAACTTCCAGAGAAAAAACTTATTTATATATGTCTGTGGGTGTATGTATGTAGTTTTGAAAGGAAATGGGCTATGTATCTTATCTATGATGAAATAGCTGTCATTTTTGTTTATGCTGCAGCAATTCAAATTACTGCATTTACTGAGAAAATTCCTTGTCATGTTTCAGGCTGTCCCTGTAATAATTCTCAGCACTTTTCCACTTGTTTTAGTGAGTTACAAAGGAATGTGGCCAATGCTTACTTAGGATCACACGATTCTTCAGATCTATTGACACTAGAAATACTTTACTTATACAGAAACCCCGATACTATCCATCAGTGAATTGCATCCAGTAAAAATGAAGTCATGCTAGCAGAGCTCTGCTTGCTAACAAGATAGTCCCACAAGTTACATGGTCCTACAAACAGAGTAACTAATCCTGGTAAAAGTCAATGTGACTGCATACATACATGGTGGTTTATTAGCACGTTTAAGGGATCATGCTGTATGCTGATGTGATCACGTTAGAAGAAATCTGGTTTAGGTTTAGCCACAGAGGACACTGATATAAGTCCTTAGTTATTTTTAATTGACAAATGTAGGTTAGGAAGACATCTCCAAAAAAGGACAAAATATAAGGTGGTAAGAACATTTGCTCTTGTTTAAGATTTTAGAAGTAATAACTTGGGAAGGATTTGGGTAGAATGCTTATGAGGACATGCTGCTGAGGCTGGGATTGTTTTTGTGAAGAGGGGAGAGGAAAGGGCTCTAGAATGGAATACTTAAGTACCTCTCAGTACTGCTATTGCCTCAAACAGAAAAACAATGTACTTCTTCACTTTGTTAGCTTTTAGATTATCCCTTATATTTGTATCCTACTGAATTGACTTGAGTGTAAATTATGTACAAAAATATATGTAAAGATAAGTATGCATGTATCCAAAATATGTGAGGGCACATATGCATTTTTTTTTCCATCAATGACACAACCATCCAGCAGCAGACCTTTATGCAACCCAGGCCCTTGTATCTAAACAAATCCACAAGGACCTTTGTGGAATTCACGGCAGGACTTGAATTCAACACAGACACTAGCTACTACTACATTCTTTGGTCTAAGAGAGCAGCACTAATATCAGCATTAATCCAGCACTGCCTAATCTTAAAAGGCCTCACTCTAGTGGAAGAGACTCCTTTTTCTTGCTTGAGAAGCATGGAATATTTAAATGGTTCTTCAGAGAACCATTGAGCTAAGGACATCAATGCAGTTGAGAAGAATTACACTGAAAAGTAATGTGAAAAGGAAATGCAGGAAAGTGCATGCAGCAGACTGAGAAAGGGACCAGATTGCAGAGGAATATGTACTGGAGAGTAGGCAGAGGGAGAAAAAATAAAACATGTAAATTGGGATTGTGAAATAAGGAATAGCAAAGCAGCTGCTATCAAAGAGAAATTGTACTGTGACCAAAATCAGTTAAATACAATTAAGCATGGATTAAAATATTTAGTCTTTTCTAGCATTTATTTTCCTGTGTGAACAATTGCTGAAGCACTAAGAAAGACACATACTTAATGAAAATAGGTGAAGGGATAAGATTTATTCTGTAAAATTCATGGTCCTTATAATGATGATGATGATGAAAATTAGTAACTGAACTGTTTTTTCAGTGTTCAAAACCAGATATAGTGTAATTCTTAAAAGAACTTGATAGGACACACAATCTAGTAAACAGACTTTAGGTACTCTAATCCTATTTCTGGAAAATAAGGCCACATAAAAAGCAAATGGTATGACACTTTTTAATTCTACTTGATGGAGCAGCCAGGTCCCTGTGGTCAGTGCTGTGTTCCTTCTAGATTACAGCTTCCAAAAGGAAGTCCTAGCTGAAATAAGAATTACAAATGGAAGCAAATGTAGGTCATAGCCATGATTCATATTTGTACTGCAAACTACAAAGATGCCAAGCAGATATCT